TCTTCTTCTTCTTCTTCTTCATCAAAGCTTCCTTCACCCCACCCCACTCCCAGTCCTACCCGCCAGCCCCTGATACGGTATCGTATCGGGATAGGGAAGGTTGAGCACCTTCGAGCTATAGAATCGAGGAAAAGGGGGAGATTGAGAAGGGAGAGGGGAAGACGGCCGTTAATTGGCGAGGAGGAGAGATGGAGTTTAGGGTTAGGAAAATATCTCTTTATTGATTGAATTATAAACTCATGCATAATGACTACATATATATATGGTTGATCTAAAGAGTCCTAGCCATAAAAGGTAACTAAATAAATTAAAATACTAATAACCTAATATAATAATACTTCCTAATAATAATATAATTATCTAATCATAAATAATATAAATAGTAATATAATAATAATGGTAAATAACTAAATATAGTCCTGTATCACTCTTCCCGCCTCGAAAACCAACTTGTCCTCAAGTTGGAAATCAAATAAAGAACGAGAAAAAATTGCACCGTTCATCGTCCATCCTCCGGGGTCAAACACCTTGATCCTTGGAGCACCAAAAGAACGAGTCACGCCGAAAACATTCCCAGTGTCAAGTAAACAGTTCCGGGCAACCAAGAGTAGGAATATTATGCAATCACGTGCAACATCCTCAGAATTATAAAGGACAACAACATCACTTTCTGACGTCCCAAAAGTTTCCGTGCATCCATAAAAAATGACACCATCACTTGAATGTTTTGCTTGGACAGTGTGGTCTCGTTGATCGTCACCAGAAACATCAACAACAACATCAACAACGGTAACAGGAACAACATGTATGGGATCAAGAATAAGATCATCATCGGGAACGCCAACAGGATCAATAAAAATTTTCTTTTCAAATTTCTGGTCCTGCAAAGTTGTGTTCTGCACAGGTACTGTAGGGGCTGAATCTCGTGAAGTGCCGATGAGTTTCCTTATAGAGCGCATCATGGTTGTTTTGAAAATATATAACTCTATAGGAATCAGGCTCGGCATAATTGGGAGACCACGAACTAAATTCTGCATTGAACAATAGGCCTCTACGGCGAACGCATATACCTCGGAATCATATTTTGGTTGACCTTCAATTTGACGGAATGCCTAAAGTTTCTTTATAATTTCATCCACAGAATCTTCAACTGCACACACACCTTCATAAAATACAATTTGTCCCCGCAAAACTTTCTCGAGTAAATAAAGAACTTTGTCCAACAAAGAATCCATTGCCAAAAGAAACACCACCACACAAAAATATCACTAAGGGTAGTTACGACAATAAGTTGCGGCAAGGCAAATCAATTGATGTTGTAGAAAAAAATGCCGTGCAAAAGTCCTTGGTACCAATAAACATGCAGAGGTAATTGATGGGCAGGTGGCTAATGTACCTAATGGATTACCTTGCAGATTGTAGTGGGTGATGAACCAATTTGGAACAATTTCTATTTTTTGAGTACTATGTTGTGATTTGGTGCCAAGAATGATAACTTCAACGGAGCGAAGATCAAAGTGATGAAAGAGCAGGATCTCAGCGCCGTTTTTTTGTATTTTTTTGGGTGAGTTCAAAAATGAGAGCACCAATTGATACGGTATCGTATCGAGATAGGGAAGGTTGAGCACCTTCGAGCTATAGAATTGAGGAAAAGGGAGAGATTGAGAAGGGAGAGGGGAAGACGGCCGTTAATCGGCGAGGAGGAGAGATGGATTTTAGGGTTAGGAAAATATCTCTTTATTGATTGAATTATAAACTCATGCATAATGGCTACATATATATATGGTTTATCTAAAGAGTCCTAGCCATAAAAGGTAACTAAATAAATTAAAATACTAATAACCTAATATAATAATACTTCCTAATAATAATATAATTATCTAACCATAAATAATAATAATAGTAATATAATAATAATGGTAAATAACTAAATATAGTCCTATATCAGCCCAAACTCACAAATAACTCATTTGTGAACATAAAAAATAAACAAAGACCCAACACTTTAATCTGTGACCATAAACGACCCAAACAATGAAAAATGAAAGGTTTAACAATTGGGGAACCTCCACAAATATTAGAGCCCAATATCTCAGGTTTAGTTCAATACCCTGGTTGAGTATAGAAGCATACATTAACATTGAGACACATGGTCTAGTTTAATACGGAGTACTATATTGTGCCATGTCTCAGTATCTGGTGAAATTTTCCAGCCCATAGAACAGAGATCTCAACATATTGATAAAATGCAACTTCCTTGAAATTGTAGTGCATCTTGAAGGTCGCTTAATAATATAATACTATTTAATCTTCATTAGATAAATTTAACATCATTCCGAATTACGAACAGAGAATTTGCATAAAGATTATATGGACACTCAGGAGAAAAATTAGAAAATACTACCGTTGAGTAAATTTAATTAGCTTTAGTTTGAAGGGAGAGAGTGGGGGGGGGGGGGGCGGNTGAAAAAAGAAGAAAAGGAAGGGAGTGGGAGGGAGAAGAAGAAAAAAAGAAATGGTGTCAAATTGAAAATTTTAAAATACATAAAATTCTAATTTGATCCAAATGACCGGAACTTAACCTGGAAACGAGTAAATGGACTTTTAGTAAAATGATTATGTAAGTTCAAGAACTTTTGTGAAAGGATTTAAAATTCAGGTACCACTTTGAAATTCTAGTGAAAGTTCAGGTACCATTACTGAAATTTATCCAAGAAGAGAAAGAAAGAATTGAACACAACTTGACAGAAGAAAAAAAAAACAAAGAGAGAAATTGATTTGCTTGATTGTGCAAATCCACCGCAGATCAGACAGCACTCCGCCCAGGCGGGCGCCTAGATCTCAGGTCCACGCCTGTCGGAGGCCTGGACCAAAATCTTCTGCTATAAAAGGAGGGCTTCGCCCCTTCATTCACAATCATCCTCCTCTCCAGGTCTTTTAGGCCCAGAACTCCTTTTTCGCTCTTTTCTCAGTTATATTTTAATATTTTAGTTTAGTTTTGTTCCGGTTGACCTAAAGAGGCTCTTACTCTGCTCTCGGTTTTAAGTTGTTCTTTACTTCTTTTAATAAAATATTTTCTTTTATCATGCACTGTTAATATTTAGTATGGATTAGGACCCGGATTAGGTCCTAGAAAAATTTGGGCATATACTCTGTATGTTTATTTAATAGTTGGAATAATTGTTGTAGAATTACTTTTATTGTTAAATTAATTAATTACGTCGAGAGAAAAATTAATTAAGTACTGGAAATTAGTTTTTGCCTTATCTATGAGGATATAAAATTAATTAAGCCAAACTTTTTAGAACACATTAATGTTGCCTTGAGAGAGGATAAGTTAATGAAATATTTGTGACAGAAATATTATTATTCCAATTATTGATTAAATATGTGACAACAGTAGTTGACTTAGATGATCCTTGGCCCGAAGTCTAGTCCTATACCCGTACTATTTATTTTCTTTCTGTCAAAAGCACCTTGTAGTTAGTTTATTATTATTTTTAAATCAAATCGAGAAGACTTTGAGACCCGTCCTAACCTTCGTCTAGTTAGAAAAAGTAGGACATTCCCTTCGTCCACTCCTCGAGAGACACGACACTCAGAGAAAACTAACCCTACATAGGGAAGGTTGACTTACCGAAAAACTCAATCATCAATAATTCATGAACACATAATCACATTTAATTTATAACGATCATTAATACCTTTACATCCATTTATTTAAAAAAAGTTTGTATTATCTTCTTGGTAAAATCTTAATTATATTTTCCAACATATATCTTAGTTATGGTGATGTGTAAAATATTTCTTCAATTATATGAACATATAATCATACGTATTCATCAAAAGTAATTAAAGTATTTATTAAGACCAAGATTGTTATTATCAAATATTCATTGTTCATGGTTTTGATTGGTCAGTTTCATGGAATAATTCACAATTACATAGATACAAGTCAAGATGAATTACCATGAGAAAATCAATCATTCTATTTTCATAATTCAATCATATTTACTAAGAGAGCTAAGTCTCATCCTTAATCATTTTCCATATTTAGTCCCCTTAATCCTCACGGTTCCATGGAGTCATTCTCCATAGGGAAATGACTCGATAAGACTTCCCCCGTCTAAGTCTGAGTCCGAGCGCCTTTCTCTTCAGGTTCACAATTTGTTTCGTGGTCTTTCTCAGGCTGAGTGTAAATACTCTTCTGATTCAAGACGCACGGGTTGAGTGATCCCCAGTCGCCTGACCAGTCTGAACCTAATGTAATGTACATACCAACTCCTAGTGTCGCCCAAATTTATATGCTCAAATCCATACCATCTATTACTAGAAATAATCTAGATTAAACCATGCAACTTTTTGGTTATTAGTGTTGTCATCATAATTATCAGGTTGATGGATTGGAGCATATTAGGTTTTAACATAAAATCCATATAATTCAATACTAAAAGTTATCTAGCTTTAATCATTTAATAATATCATTTTAGTTATTAACAACAATATTTAGCAAATTTGAATTATCATTATCAAAATTTAGTTTTGGAGATTCAGGGTTTGGGACGGTCGACTCTTTGTGGTCGCAGTCAAAAGTGCCTTCGTGATCTTTGGAACTTTGTGACGGTCGATTGTCGGCATTACAACGACAACTTCTTTTACAGGCGGTCCTGTAGATGGACCGTCCCACTGGGCAATTGATCGTGTCGAGCCCAGTGGTCTATTCCACGATTCAGTTTTTATGTTCCAAAGTTCATTTTATTTCCTTTAAAGTATATATTTTACTTTACTTGAAACATGACTTAAATATGACGTTATCATGAGGTCTAAATATCAGTTTTAACGTTGAGTTCAAGCGAACATAAGTCATTAGTGTTCCTTTATGGTTTTCTAGCAATAATAATTTGTAAAGTTTCATAGCAATAATAACAATCATAAATGAAACCACATGCTATGAACGATTCTAAGGAATCTAACGTTAGATTTGAGTATGGGGTACATACCTTAGATTTGACGGAACGAGGCAAAAGCAATGGTGTAATTTGCAATTCCCGTCACCCTCGTCATAGCTATATCAGTCTCTATATTTTGGCACATGCATCTCCTTCGTTAAATCTCGAAATTGTAAACCGTTTTAACCAGTGGTTACATAAGACGTGGAGCTACAATTTTTGCTTTCAAATTTTATCAAAATAATGTATAGAAGGTGATAATTAGCGTCTAAATCAGGTGAAGTTTCTGCCCAAGAAAGTTCAGCATCATCTTCAAACTTGATGATTCCAATGCCCAACCCGAGAGCTTCTTCTCCTTCTTCCTTGAGTTGTTTTGACCCCTCATCTAGGTGTAGGTATAACGTGTATCACAAGGGCGTTAGAATGAGTATTATATTGATGGGAGTGAAGTCTAGATTCTTACCTTGAGTTTTCTTGTAAAACTCCATTAATGGAGAAAGTAAACTTAGTGAGGGGGATGACCACTTTGCAGGAACTTTCTTTAAGTGTGAGAATAAAGAATGAAGGGATTGAGACTCTTACTATTGAGGAAAGAGAAGGGGAATGTTAGTTAGTCTCACATCTTCATCAACATCACTAGCCAGACTCCAAATCAAATGGAACGGAAGTGTGGGATGTTGGGTACTAACCTAGCACGGAGGTGATGCTTGAGGTGCAAAGTATGGGAACTATATTTGAGTTGATTTGGCAAGGGATATTGCTTATTTGGAATGAAATATTTTAAGGATTTGATGAAATCCCTGTTCTAGAAGAAATACTTTATCTTTTTGGGTTTTGGGTTATTTTCCAACCAGAGTCCGATTTTGAATGATCGTGTTTTTGAACTCAGAAAAATAAATATATTTTAAAAATGTATTAAAATATTTATCCAAATATTTTTATTTTTCAGGCAACCGTGGCCCACGCTATCAAAATTGGCAGTTTGATACTTAATTCTTTTTAAAGCGGTTTTCACGACGTTACAAGAAGAGAGTTTTAGGATTTAGAGAAATTATTCTTTCTGATAGATATAATGAACATATTTATTTTATGGAGATAGATAAACTCTAATTCTAACCCCAAAATCCTAATCTTGTCGGTTCAAGAAATGCATCGAGGTAAAGAACCGAAAAAAACCCTCGAAGGAGCTTATAATTGCGCTCGAAAATAAAAACTATATTACATTAAACATTATCACTTTGATCTGTAATGCGGGTCATGGGAGGTGTAAAACCTTATGAATGTCTTTGCGAGCTTTACACATGGCTACCAATGGTTTGGCTTTGGGCATGGTGAGCCCTTTGCCTTCATCCAGATCAATTGCCCTTTCTGTGATCCTCTTCCACTCAAAGCATTGTATCATTGATGCCAAGACAAGAGCTATGATGCGTTTGGCTAGTCCGGCACCAGGGCATGACCTTCTTCCCATCCCAAATGGCATAACTATTAGCCTTTGTGATGCTACTAATGATGATGATGATTCAACTTCCCAACCCTCAAATCTTTCGGGTACGAAGCTTGTTGGATCGTCATTCCAAAGGTTCGGATCCCGATGGATAGCAAAAGCATTGACAAGCAACATTGTACCACTTGGAATGTCATAGCCACCAACCTTACAAGCCTCAGATGAATAATGCGGCAACAGTAATGGTGCTGGTGGAAACAGGCGCAGTGTTTCAGACACAATGCACTGAAGGTAATGCAGTTGAGGCAAATCTGATTCATTTACCAAGCGCTCAAAACCCACAACTCTGTCTAGCTCTTCTCTTGCTTTTCTCATCACTTTGGGATGGTTGAGTAATGCTGCCATTCCCCACTCCATTGACATAGATGATGTCTCAGTACCGGCAATGATCATATTCTGCACTTAAGAAGCTGGGGATTGTAATGTTTTTTATGTGCTGGGTTCAAAGAATTTGAATAACAATAAGCTTTGGCCTTTTAATAAAAGGACTTTTCTGGGTTGAGAGAATCAATCAAGAAAAATACGGAGTATATGAGAGAAAAAAAATTATACTTCCACTATTTTCTGATAATATAAAAAAGTCATCTTCAATGTATACGAGCTAAATACGAGAAGCTTATAAACAGGATCGTCTTTCCACACCCTACACTACATACCCAGATATAAGGGTGGGCAAGAATCTTGATCTCGTTGTTCAGACTCCGAATATTCAGCCATTTCCCTATAATATCTCATTTTGTTTGGAATGACAACATTTTAACCCAACCTCGTTCTGGACCGTTTTAAAAAAGAATGAGCTCGGGACACATACTATTTTCCGTTCTATCCCGTTCTCCCGCATATATTATTTATATATCTATCTATTTATTTATATCAATGAGATAACACAAAAAATACGGATATCACAATCTTTATTTTTCTCAAAGATAAATACAAATAAATGTCTAGATTCAAAGTTAGATTTTCCCATTTTGCGTTACAAGGTTTGACTAGCTTTATTATTAATTCAATTTATTTGATTATAGATGTAAAATTTAAAAACAAAATTTATATATTTTAGTTACTAGATAAAGGTTCTACTCCGCAAAAAAAAACGATAACATGACTATATTTTATTATGAGCGAGTATTAAAAATAATCAAAGTGGATAAAGTTTGATATTGTAATATCAAATTTAACGGAGGACGTAGAAATTTATCTTCTACCATATACTCTCTAGAGTCTCCACGTCTTCAAATTAACTTAACATTTTCCATTTTACGATTTCACAAAATTATTTGTAAACTTCTCCATTCTTTTTTAGAAAATAAATGGGTGGGCAATTTCATCATTCTCATGTCACTCTTTTCCAAGTATATTTTAAAACACGCATTTTATTTTATAATTTTTAATTTTCAACATTTTTTTTTCTTTTAATTTATGAAGTCAATGTATTTCAAGAAATATTGAAAACAAATAACTTCACTTTTCCAAAGTATTTGACTAGCTTGACTTTTTTAGCTAAAAACGAATGAACTTTAATCATCAATTATATTAAATTTGTAAGAAATTCTAATATAATGAGATAAAATTTTAATAGTTTTCCATATGATAAATATAATAAATTTTTTTTGTATAATATCAAATATAAATTTTATTTAATTGATAATCAAATTATTCAATTTGACTAAAAAAATCAAATTAAACAAATAGTTTCAGACAAAATTGGCAATAAGACAATCCGAGCAAAATGTAAAAACTACTCTAACACAGTTTATCTTGTAAAAACTTGTAGGTCGTAATGTTTAAAAAAATCACCGTGCACTTAAGTTTATGGTAAAGACTAAGAGGATATTTTTCAGCACTAATATACATTTTTCTGACGAATAATATGTTTGTCTTCTATTCTAATCATCCTATTATTTTTTACATTTATGTTTTCTTTTTCTTCATTTACAATTGATTACAGGCCTGTTTGGGAATAGCGTTAGAGATTAGCGTTAGCATTTTGAAAAGGCTATCTACGGCCAGCGTTTGACGTTAGCGTTTTCAAAGTAATCTGTACCGTTAAAATTTTATCCAAAACACTAACGCTAATATCTAACACTATTTCCAAACAGGCCCTACAAAAGTAATATTTTTTGTGTACTACCCCCTCCGTTTCGAAATATTTATCCACTTTTGACTTTTTTGGTCCAAATAGGTAAACATTGACCTCAAATTAAATACATACTCCCTCCGTCCACAAATAAACTTTACGTTCACTATTTACATGGTCAAACTTTATTTACTTTGTTGGCCTATTTTCGTCACTCATTTGCTAAAATAATATAGTCATGTAACCTCTAGTTTTGGAGATCTTTTGATATAGTTTTTTAATATGTAATTTTTATTTTTCAATTCTACACCATTTTTCATATAAAATGATTTGAAAATAACTTCAGTCAAACATCGTAACGCGCAATGTAAAGTTTATTTGTGGACGGAGGGAGTATAATATTAGATATTGATATAAAAATAATTTTAATAGATTTTTTTACATAAAACATTTTCAAAATATTATTTTATCTATTAAATATAAAATATATATTTTATTTAATTATAAGGCAAAAGTTGAAAACGATTGACTGAGAAAAGTCAAAACTGGACAAAAACTCTGGGAGGGAGGTAGTACTTTTTTTTTGTCAATTGTAAATAAAAATAAGGATTAAGCTATTTGTACCCTAAAATTGGTACCTCAAATTATACACTGTAGGTGTGCACCTTCATTTTTCATTTTGTGTCAGTGTAATGCTATGTTGATATTTCACACAGATACAAAATATTAAAGCAAATTTTTATTAACGCACTAGTATTTTTTGTCTGTGTGAACCATCAAAATATTAGTGTATACCTCTGGTGTAACTTTGGGGTACACTTTTAGGTGTAAGTGTAGCATGGTTGAAAAGGAAAACATCAAATTGCAAACTGATGATCTACAAGTCAACAGTACGAAACTCACGTATCTCAAAGGTAAAAAGACTAAAGTAGGAGTAAAACATTGAAAATATACCAAAATAAGACTTCCATGTTTTTATTCCCGAAATAAGAGTTAAAATGTATTTATATTACCAAACATGATCATGTACATTACCAAAAAATATAGTAATGGGCACATGTACAGTGTCACATTACCATAGTGTGAAGTCCTATTTTGGAAATAAAAATATTAAAATCTTATTTTGGTACTTTTCTCAATTTTTAGTCCTATGTAGGACGATTTCTAAATCTCAAACTAATTTTGTATGCAAAATGAGAATGAAAAATACTTCCTTCATCGCATATCCTTCTTTCTAGTATGACTTTTATATCCAACGGTTTAACTTCGACCATAAATTTTAGAAAAATTATATTGTATTATGATATACATTTTAATATCAATATATTCATTTCAAAAGATAGTTTTAAAATATCACATTTCTATATTTTGTATTTATATAAAAACAGAAATATTAAAACTCAAAGTATTACATTAAAAACTATAAAGGAGTAAATAGAAAGAAAGATATGTGTCAAAGATGTATGCTCAGTAATTTTGGACAATGGGAGTTGGGCAATGTAGAGGCTAATAGCACCGGTGTTCCACGCGGTTTACAAAAGGACCACCAAAACTCTCATATTTTAACAATTTATTTTCAAACCCCTATAATTTTCTAAATGGTGCACACACGCTCCCTAACCAATTTTCACACTTAAAATAACATTTATGTCCTTGTTATTCTCTATCATAAAAAAAGGCATAAATGCCATTCTAATTCTGAAAATAGATTTGGGAGCATGTATACACAATGTAAAAATCACATTCTCTCCATTTTCAAAAAGAATTCCTATTTTGACCAATTATAAAAACAAAAAAATATTAAATTGTAGCTAACTGTCATTTTTGTCCTTGATGTGATATGTAAAAGGAGATGTGATAAATAGTTTATTAGAGAAAAAAATATGATGAGATATGTAGAATATGAAAAAATAAGGGTAAACATTGTTTTCTAATAGAAAGTGAAATTGTTTTGTTAGAAGTAAAAAAAGAGAAAATGTTTGTAAGAAGGGAGCAAGTATAATTTTTACAAATAATTTAAAAAAGAGTAAATTTTGGTACTAACCACATGTGAATGTACGTACATTAATAAGGCCCTTGATGGCGAGATCCGTGTAGAAGTGTGGCTCCGATTGTTGCAGCGACAATAAGTGCCCAATCATTGTGCTCTCCGCCGGCGTCTCTTCCCGCCGGCAATCGTCTATCAGTTTCTGCACGAAATCGTCCAGTCTCTCTCCGAGCGCCGCCAGCCTCTTCTTCACCCCTCTCCAATCCAACCACCTCAGAAGGGGGAAAAAATCCTCCGGATTCGAAACGTCACCCACCTCCAACACCTCTTTAATCAGCTCCCGGACCCCCACCGATTCCCGATTCTCCATGTCGCCGGCGAAAAACCTCTTCCCGGCGATCATCCGCACCATCAAATTGAAAGTCAATTGGGAGAATTTCGGCCTCAGCTCCACCCGGTGAAACCCATTTTCCGGATCTGGACGGAGGAGGCTCTTCAAGAGCTGCTCGATTTCGTCTAGTCGGATCGGAAGGGAGGAGTTGAGGCGGGCGGCGGAGAACACTTCTTCCGCGGCGAGGCGGCGGAGGCGGCGCCACCGGTCGCAGTGCGGGAGCCCGACCATGGTGCTCTGGTTGTACCCTATGTACTTGCTGGCGAGATTGTAGGTCCGGTTGTTGAAAACGGCGTCGTTTGTGGTGAAGCATTCCTCCGCCAGCGGCAGAGACGAGACGACGGCGACCAAGCGGCTACCCAGTTTGAGGGAGAAGATGGGGCCGTGCTTTTGGGAGAGACGGTGGAGGGTGCGATGAAGCGGGAGCCGAAGGAGGTGGAGGTGGCCGATGATGGGAAGGGGAGGCACCGGGTACGGCGGGCGACGCCGTCGTCCTGCGGTTGCGTAAATTAGAAGAAAGATTGAAAGTGGGATGACCAAAAACAGTGTAAGCACGGTGCTCTCCATGTTCCCTGTTTTATGGGGGAAAAAAACCTGCATGGTTACCCTTAAATACTCCTGGATTAGCCAAAAGTTTTCGTACTTTTGGAATGGGTGAAGTGTAACAATCTTTTTTGGTGACAGGGTATCGGAATCTTGTTGACTTAACGGTTACAAATTTGAAGTTCATTGCCATTCAATTTTAATAAAATTAAAGCTTATGTGCAAAACTCGAAAAATCTACACCTGCACGTGAAAAGACATGTTAGAATTTAAAAACATTTTCTAAGTTACAATCACACGTTATATTTCATCTTTATATATAAATTTTTTCTAAATGTCATTACAGATATCACAAATACAAAATACATAATACAATGTATATAAATTGTGTAAAACACACGACGATAATATAAACAATGCCACATTATATTTTCCTACAAAAAATGACACATTTTATTAAAAATAAAAACAAAACACATGTAATTGATTGAAATAAAGATGAGCTATATTTCCCATTTACATTATTTATACAATAGTATTCTACGGTATTGTAATTCATCGACTAACAAAAATCGTCTCTCTCATTCTCTTACATTCATTTCCCATATCATATACTCCCTCCGTCCCATAAAACATGAGATGTTTTGTTTTTTAAGGAGATTTAAGGGGAGTGTATTTTGGTATTGAATTTCTAAAAATGTCCTTTGATGTGATGGATAAAAGTACGATTTGATGGATATGTTATTAGTAAAAAAGTATAATGTGATAGGTAGAGTATGAAAAAGTAAGGGGTAAAAGTGACTTTTTAATAGAAATGAGAAGTGTTTTTTGGGACGGATAAAAAAAGAAAGGAGAAAGGTTTTCAGGGACGGAGGAAGTATAAAAATTACTTTAAATAAGACTAAAACATAAAAAAATATCAAAATAAAAGTTTCATGTTTTATTCTCGAAATAAAACTTCACACTGTGGTAATATGATTGTAATGATATTGCATTGTACATGTGCACATTACTATACTTTTTGGTAATATAGATGATCATGTTTGGTAATGTAAATGCATTTTTACTCCTATTTCAAAAATAAAAACATGGAAGACCTATTTTGGTATATTTTCAATATTTTACTCTTACTTTAGTCTTTTTCCCTATCATCTAATTCAATCAGATACTCCGTATCACTTTCTTCTTTAATTTTCTCACACTTCTCTAATTATTCTTCTGCTTTTTCATTATTTGTTTCCACATGTTATCCCTTTATTTGTACAAAAAGTAAATAAAAAAAATAAAAAAGTAATTAATTAGCCAAAGATTTTCTCTCTACAAGAAAATGGAAAATTCTAAGAATACACCAATGGTGTACCCCAAATATCCACACCCCCTCCATAACCACAAAAATTTGCATGTAACTTCAAAAAAAATTATAAATAAAAACCAAATAAAAATAAAGGGAGATGCTAAGGGTACACCAAAAAAGTACCTCAAATGTACACCACACATTCTTTTACCACTCATTTTTATATATTTATTTCTTTATTGGACCATGCTAAACACCCCCCACCTTTGCTACCACCAACCTTGCCTCCACCCACTTCTCCACCACATATTTATCTCTACTCAATCTCTACCCACCCTCTAATTTTAATTTTCTTGCCTCCTTACCACATGTTTATGTATGGGGGGCATGGTGGTATAGCAAAGGTGAGGGGGTTTTTAGCATTTTCCTTCTTTATTATATTACTTGCCAATATATGTAGTATTGGAAAGGGAGGTGTACATTTGGGGTACACCAAAGAAGCATGTGGTGTAAATTTGGGGTACATCTTTGGTCTACCCCTAGCATCTTTCCAATATTATTCTTCTTTGAAAAATGCTAGGAGTACACCTCATGTGTCTCCCACCCGCTCCTTGTCTACATAAATTGGCAAGAAACTTTTTAAAAAAAAAAAAAATCAAATAAAAATAGGTAGTGAAAAAGGAGGTGATGTACATTTGGGATACACTACCCCTTGCTCTTCTTCTTTAATGTTCACATTTCTCTCCTCTATTCATCCCTCATTTCTAATCATTTTTTTCTTCTTTCCCCACCACATCGTCTGATTTCCCTTCATTCATCTGTATGAGGGTATGAGTGATGTTAGTTGGCCTCCTCTCCGCCTTCATTAATCTCCTTGTCTCAAACATTGCTATCTTTTCATTATCCTTCCCTCCCTTGTTCAAAATAATAATAATTATTCTTCAATTCCCTCCACCCATTTCACATTTAGATTATGTGAGTCTTTCTTGTAGTAGCTGGTGCTTATTGACTTATAAGCTATTTATTGATTAATATTCTTTAATATAGAAAAATTAACTTAAATTATATATAAGTCATTTGAGGATATGATCTTTATAATAGTTGATGGATAGTTTTGTAAGTAATCTAGTCAAAATAGAGAAACGAAAAAACTGGCTTAAAAATAACAAAACAAGACCTACTTATTTTTTCTAGCTTCTAAATAAGCTTATAAGCACATAGAACACATCATGGGCTGATTTATAAGTAATTAAAAAACAATTTATAAGCAGTTTTGACCAACTTATAAGCACAAAGAATTGATACACCCACTATATGATGTGTGTGAGAGCTCTCAATCTAAAACCAATGGTGATTTTAGATTGTGAATCACAATAAATTTTGTTTATTTGTATGTTTTCATTAATTATCTGATGAAATAAAATATTATTGTTATCTATTATTTTATACGAGTAGAATTTTTTATGTACTTTTTAAATATGTATGTTTTAATTTTTATTTCTATACCAATCTTTAAATAAATAAATTCAAAAAACTTGATATTTGATTTTGTTTTATCTTAAGTGTAATTTGTTTAGAGACGAAGGGAGTATAAATTTTTTGACGTCTTTAGTCGTTCTTTACGACTGGGTTCAATGGCCATTGGATTTTAGTGGCCACGAAACCACTGTCCCGATGAAGACACCTACGATACTTCATTCGTAAAATTGATGATTTCTACTTCTCCTAACCCCTCGGTAAACCCCCCTGTCCAGTTTCGACCCCAACTCATCTCCCACCTACGTCAATTGCACCCCAGAAGTATAGTTGACTTTGAGGTCAAAACTTTATGTTTTAAAGTCAATTATACTTGCGGGATGCAATTGACGTAGATGAGAGATGAGTTAAGGTCGGGAGTAGATAGAAGGATTTATCGAAAAATTAGAAGATATGAGAATCATCAATTTTACGAACGAAGTATTGTAAGAAATAGTGACTTCTCTAACCACTATAATCCAGAACGGGGTCGTTTTCTTTAAGGCACGAAATAAATGCGCATATCATCATCTCAAAAGCAATAATGAATTGAAAGGTCAATAGTTTGGAGTGATTGATATGAACGAACGTGTTACATATCTTAGTGTAAACTTAACTCTTTTTTCCTCACACAGTGTTTGAACAACCGTCAAGATTTATTTTGTACACTTTGACTTCATATAATTTGAAACGTTTTAGAAAAATTAAAAAATACAAGTAAACTGAAATTTGTTTAGAGGAAAAAGAATTATAATGGACCACCTATTTATTGTCTTATTACGTAGTACAGAGTAAGTTTTTAGTGTTATTAATTTTATTACAACCTAGTATTTATTGATTTTATGTTACTTTAATAGCAAAATAGTGAGCCAATACATCCGCCTTGGTATTATTAAGATCTTTTTTGGGTAGCTTTGAATTGGTTGATAGATTAATAGGAAGTACTCTCTCCATGTAAAATACACCCCAATTCTCCTTTATTACATGTAGAAGTTCTTTTAGGGGTATTTTAGATCTTTGAAGTGGAGTAAAAGCATTTTGAAGAAAGCTCAAAAGTGGAAGTGAAACTATTTTTTCAAACAGAGCACATAATATTTAATGGTTGTGTCTTAATTGTTCGAAAATCAAAATTTAACTTATGTCACAAAAAGAAAAAATGAGAAGATTTATTGAAAGGAAAGAATAGTTGAAAGAAGAGAAGAGAGTATAAGATCAACATGTGGTGGATGTGGATGGAAGAGTAAAGATGTTAGAGTGTCATCCCACATCGGATGTTCAAGAGTAAAATAATCGGTATATAAGCTCTTGAGTTGAACTAACTAGTCGATTGGATTCAATCTTTTAATGTGGTTCAACACAAGTGTCTTATTACCCAATCCAGTTATCTATACGCATCCTAAATTCTATCATGTTATCACAGCAGGTCTTGGCCCACTTCGTTTGTCAAGGTGTTCGTCTAGACGCTCATTCCTAGCGGCCCGTTAGTCTTTAGCTTAGTTGTTCGTGTGGAGTATGTACCCAACGGCCTGTGGCCCATTTAACACGATTGCTCGTCTAGAAGTCCATATCTAGCGGCTCGTAGTCCTTTAGGTATTGGCGCTCAAAAAAATCAAGGGAATGAGAGTTTATTTGCAAGTGGTCAACCGTTAGATTCAAAATGGCTCGGTTGTCCACTTGAGGGAGAGTGTTAGAGTGTCATCTCACATCGGATGTTCAAGAGCAAAATAATCGATATATAAGCTCTTGAGTTGAACTAACTAATCGATTGGATTCAATCTTCTAATGTGGTTAAACACAAGTGTCTTATTGCTCAATCTAGTTGTTCATACCAATCCTAAGTTCTATTAAAAGACGCAGTAAAAGATAGTAGGTTAAAGGATAAATTTGTCTACAACTTGATATTATAATTTGAGTGACGACTCAAGTTAAATCAATTCATGAAATATTCACAATCTTAATTCAAACAAATAAATAAGACGTAAATAATGAAACAATTCAACTTCACAGATGAATTAAGAAATGAGAATTCAGATCAAACAATCAAAATAATTAGAATCATATATGGATTGAACTAATAGAATAAAAAAATCACACAAAATTGTATGAATCTCATACTCAAAGGTTTAGCTTAAACGAGAATACAAATAAGAAACTCACACCTCATAATATAACCTATAAATCAAATATTAAATCAAATAGTTGAGATACAAACATGCAAAAGAATGATAGATTGAATGTGAAAGGCATTGTGCAGGGGAAATGCTAGAGTTTACCAATGTCAACTATGTTGGGGATTACTGCAGCTAGCGGTGATACATTTTGAGTAATATGTTATTGATAAAAAATAATTCCACCAAACAACTCGACCCAATTGATTGAGTTTGACTGATGATAAGTAACGAACGAATATTAAAAAGATGCTTGAGAAGATGACGAACAATATCAAAAGTGAGTATTGCTTCACACTTTTCATTTGCAAAATATTGGAAATGTTTTGGAGAAATATTTTTGTATATTTCTGAACGAATGATATGAGAAATACAAAGCTGTATATATAAGAAGAACACACTCGTTGAGAACTCTATTTCGACTAGGAAACGAATTATTAAAGGAAAAAGAATAGCTATACAAGGAAACAAATATGAGAAGATATTCATATTCCTATTCTCAACGCATCTCATCAAGTTGGAGCATGTAACAATGAAATGCCCCACTTGGGAAGCAAAATCTCCAAATGAGACTTTCCTAATGCCTTGGTGTGCAGATCAACCAATTGTTGTATTGTCGATACGTGTTGCGTGCGGATGACCCCACAAACAATCTCATCACGAACAAAGTGGCGGTCAACCTCAATATATTTTGCGCGTTCATGGAAAACTAGATTGGAAGCAATATGTAAACTTGTGGTACTGTCACAACAAATTGTCATATGATTAGTATGAAATATGCCAAAAGAAGGAAGTAATCTCTTCAACCATTTTAGTTCACATGTAGTAGCGGTGAGCGTAGGGTACTTGGCATTGGTGGAGGATCATGCCACATTAGTTTGCTTTTTTGTCTTCTAAGAATACTGGAGAATCCCTAAGCTCGACAAACCATCCTGTCAGATATCTCTGTGTAAGAGAACAAGTAGCCCAACCTAATTCACACCATCGAGTCAACTCTAAGCTATTTGTACCAGACAAAATATTTCATGTCTAGGACATCCCTTAAAGTACCGCACCACATTCAATGCTGCATGCCAATGGTCTTCATGTTGCTCTTTGAGATATTGTGTCAAAGTATGAACTCCATAGGCCAATTCAGGGCGATTAACTGATTAGCACGCCGAGTGCCCCAAAAGACTCCCAAAGAGAGCCAGATGATGATTCTCCTCCATAGGTGCTCCAAGAATACGCGAATCAAGCAATCCTGTTTTGGAAATAATGTCTAGAGCATATATTGTTTGACATAGAAAAATCTTTGTGAAATTATGGGAAACCTCAGTACCTAAAACATACTTCAAAATAACAAGATCCTTCATATGGAAACATTTAGATAAATAGTCTTTAAATTTTTGTATCAAATCTGAATCGCTTATCACAATGATTATATCGCGCACATACACATGAGCATGAATTACCACTCATGCACCATGAAAGGAGAAAAGGGAGTAGTCGAAAATGGATTGCACAAACTCATATTGCTTCAAAGCTCCAAAAATTTACCAAACCTACAACGGGGTGCTTGTTTTAGACCATATCAAAGGAGTCATTCGTGTTTGAAGTGATCACAACGGTGAATTTGATAATGGTGTGTTTGCTGAAGTTTCTGATAAACATGGGATATGTTGGAACACGGGTTTACGCCTATGCCGCATGAAACTGTATTCGTTTTATGACAGGTTTTGATAATGCCAAACTACCATGAAAACAAGTTCAATTGACCAAATCAAAGGACAAGGAAATAGGCATAATGATTTGAAAACGAGAAGCAAGAACCAAGGACGAAGACTTAGAAATTACTTGAGTCAATTTTAATGCAATCAAGACCGGCATAAACTTCTAAAACTTGGCTCTCTAGGCTAATTGCATCAAAATACCTTTATGCATCATCAAAAATGTTTTCACAAGTTTTTGATAAGTCCAAAACACTTCGTGTTTGCCCAAGCCAAAAACCAAGTCATCGGGCGTTCGGTTTTCAGAAACTGGCATTCAGTTTTCAGAAACTAGCGTTCGACATTCGGTTATCAGTGTTGGTTTTTAGCGTTCGAACCAACCAAATGGTTTTCAACATTTTATAATTGGTTTTCACTTCTGGGCACATTTAAGCAGTTTTCCAACAAAAACACTTCAAAACCATCCTTCGTTTTTAGTCGTTTGGTAAAACCATGCGAAACGGCATAAACTTGGTTAGCCGTGGTTTTTACTTAAAAGACGTGGTTTTTAAGATGTCTCATTTGATTAATTAGCCAAATACTTTAAATAAAAGTGTTCAACACTTGGTTTTTATTTTGTAGAATTTGATTTTTGACATCGGCTTACGGCATGACTAACCAGCCATGGGTCTGGCCAAACCAGCCCAACAGCGATGTTGGAGTAACCAACAGCGCTGTCCGGCGTTGGCATCTGAAACCATGGTTTGATGTTAAGTCTTCCAACAGTGATGGTGGACATTATACATCGCTGTTGAGCCAAGGTTGAAATTCCAAAAACATCTGGAACAACGATGTAGACATATCTACATCGATGTTTAACCTAAGCCAAAAGAAAATGCCTTTAGCAAAAAGTTTTTGGACAGTGCTGTTGACCCAACAATAGCAATGTTAGGCCACCTTTCTTCCTTCAAGGCCAAACCTGAACATCGATGTTGAAGTAATGAATATCGATGTAGGCACCTAACCGTTGGAAGAAATTAAAGGCTAAAACTTTCCAAGTTTGGAAGTCAACAACTTGAACATCGATGTTCCACTTTTAGGCAGTGCTGTTGGCTTGACCGTTGCTTCCCAATTTTCAAAAACCAAGCCTACAACAGCGATGTCCAAGTAATGGACAACGCTGTCAGAGTGATTTTCAGCAGATCAAATTTTAATTAAATCTCACAAATTATGCCAATCACCCCCATTCAACTCCTACCCGTTGAAGCCTATTTTTTACTATAAAATGGGATATTTGGGTCTGCATTTTACATCACATTACTTCACAACTCCCATTGTTCATTGCATTAATTCATATATTTTCCATAGCTTTTCGAGAGCCATTTTTGTAAAGTTCGTGACGTGTTCTTTGAGTGTTTTTAGTTACTCAATATCTGCTCTAAAAGAGAGTTTTTGTTCTTGAGTGGTTAAGTGTTTTGAACACTTTAAGGGAGATTTGTTCCCTTGGTTGTACGAAGGAAGGGAATATTCCTTTGGGTTGAAGTCTTGGAGTGCGGTATCTCCGAGCAAGTGCAATGAGGCTCGTGGGACTAGAGTTCTCAGGTTGTAACGGTTTGTTAAGCACCCGTAAGCTTAACAGAAGTAGTGTAGCACAAGAGAGTCTCTCGGGAGGTTGGACTAGCCACACGTTGTGGTAAACAAGGGTAAAATTGTTGTGTTCTTTCCTTATGCTTTTTTATTCCGCTCTTTACTTTATCCCTATGATTTTTATTCTGCGAAAATTTATAAACATTCCCGCGCCTCACTATTCACCCCACTCTAGTGAAAGACACTTATTCTTACAAAAATCTCCCCAAGATAGCAAATCGCCGCTCCACCATCGCGTATCGCCGTTTGCACATAAAGTCTTATCATTTCTTCTTTCTTCACCCTCTTATATAAGGATACACCACTCTCTCATTTCTTCACTAAATCATTCGATTCTTCCTTCTATTTTAATGCTCTAGGTGTGGAGAACGCAGTGGTGCAGTAAATTTGGTGAGAGGTCGTCGGAGTAAGCCATAATTCTCGCTGGAAGTTTCTCCGGAAAATTCTCAAAACCTTCATTTAAGCCCGAAGTAAGCCCTTAAATATATCTAGCGATTAGAATGTTCATATAGATCGTTTCTACGTTCATAAACGGTCGTTTGGTTGAGTTTTGTGTTTGACATGTTTGAAGAACCAAGAATCATAAACCTCTAAATTAATGTTAAAACTACAGACTAATGGTACCAAAATGATCTATAAGCTTTGGTGAACATTTCTAAATATTTAATTGAAGTTTGGTGATTATAAATAAAATTTTTGAAAATTGGCCCGAGGTTGAAGATGACACTGTTTAAAACTACACGTAGAACGGTAACGTGCTATTGCCCGGATGGTACCTTGGTACCGCCGGCATGGTCACAGTAGGCCGTACCGTCAGAATGGTAGGCTAGCTACCGTATCCTCCGTGAAAAATCGTCCTCCTCTGGCGGTACATGACGCCATGCGGTATATATATGTGTGTGTGTATGTATGTATGTATGTAGAACAAATTCACTGTTCTGCTCATATTAGTTCTAGTATGACTCCATTTTTTAGGGAATCTAATGTAACTCCGTATTACGGAGTACTTGTTTTGTGGAAATTATATCAGATTGAGAACTGTTGGGATAAAGGCCCAATGGTCGTGGGCCGACCCAAACAATTCGCATCCAGGTAACAGACACTGACCAATTGGCATGTATCTCGATCAACAGTCAAGCTCAAGCTATAACTCATGTCCCGCCCGTCAGTCAAGGACATGTTAAGAACCATCCTAAGTCAACACAAAGAGTCAAGCAAGAAGCATCCTAAGCCGAACTAATCACTTTAGCCGCAATTACCTATCATGACCTACCAAGAGGCTAGCTACAGTGTTAACTACTATATGTTTGTACAAGTACTCATGTTTTCCCACCAATTCCTCACAAAACCTTCTCTCTATAAATTGAGATTGGAGGGAACGGAGAATGAGATCGCATCCTAGAGAGAGAAAGAAGAATGGTATTGTACTAGATTCACACTTAATTGTACTTAGGAAAACGCAATCAAGCCAATTAAATGAAATATAGAGAGTTCCTTATTCCCTAAATCGAGTCGGGGATTCTCAAATTCCAAGACATCTACGCTACGGCAGGCCCAAAAGAGAGTACGTGTTGGACTTTTGGGCTCTCTCGGGGCATTGACACCAACAAGAACAAGAACATAACAGACCATATTACATAACATAAAATCAAATCAAATCCAATCAATTTATATAAAAAAACAGGCTTAGATTTATTCTTTTGCGTATATTTATCACTCATGGAGCATGTTTTTTTTAATCAAATCAGATATAACAGATTCAAGATATATTCATAACAACTTTAATTGAGATTAATAAATTAGATAAATTTGATTGAATTTGGCATGAAATAAAACAAATTGCTCTTAAATTGGGACAACAAAAAAAGTAAACTAGAAACAAGCAGTCGAGATAGAAGGGTACACTTTAAGATGATAATGTGGAAAAATGCAGCCTAAAAATTGCACTGAATTGTAGCAGAGTAGTATATACATCACTCTCCACATTCAAGATTTTAAAGGCTCGTTCGTGAAAGGAAAAAATTCAAAATCCATTTATACTATAAGAAATGCAAGAATGAGGGATTACAAGCCAAACGGAGCCTTAATCAAGAATCTTCTTCTTCTTCTTCTTCTTCCTCATCTTGATTCAATCTCATCTACGAACTCATTCCATTCTTTGTCTTCTTTGATTCTCTTCATCGCTCCTTCAACTGCCACATCAAACGCGTCCTTAACATTACCCAATCCCTTCTTCGTCCTCGCGTAGATCAATCTCGGGATCGTCTCCACCACTTTCTCCCGCATTTTCTTGATCTTCTCCTTGCTGTATTTCTCCAAGATCCCTCTAATGGAGGCCGACCCGTCGGTCACTTTCTCGTGGTCTATGAAGACAGAGTAGCTCTCCGGCTCTTCCGGCAGGAACAGCCGGTACTGCTCGTACGCCGTCTTCTCCCAGAAAAACACCGGCACCGACCCGGCGATCATGCAGTCGAACACCGACCGCCTCGTGCTGCTGTCGCCTTTCGGCTGCAAGCAGAAGTCGGAGCTGAGGAAGGCGCGCTGGACGAGGGAGGGGCGCGTGGCGCATTGGGTCACGGAGCAGTCAACGACCCGGCAGGAATCGGACTGGTTCTGGCAGTATCGGATGAGGTGGGTCCGGAAGTCGCCGTCGAGGTCGGCGCGTGAGGCGCCGACGAAGGAGAAGAGGCGGGAGCGCTCGTGGGAGAGGACGAAGCGCTGCCATTGCCGGAGCTGCAGCTCGGTGCTGGGGTGGAATCCGGTGGGGTAGGGGACGCCGACGTCGTAGTCGTCCCAGGACGCCCTCTCGATGGTGAAGCGCGTGACCTTCTCCATCTCCGGGAGGTTGAGGAGGGCCGATCCCCATTTCTTCCCGGCGTCGGCTAGGCGGCGGAAATCCCATGTGATTCGCCCTATGGTGAGGAAATGATCTGAGCCGTTGGATTTCTTCCAGTAGGTCTGGTTCTGGACCCACCGGAGCATCATCATACAGAGCCGATCCCGCCTCTCGATGTCGTCCACCCACAGATACTTCCCCACCGCGAGTCCAGCGTAGAACGGGATGTAGAACGCCGTAGCCGATTCCGGCTCCGTCGTCCGGCACCGGTAGTTCAGGATCCGGCGGTGGTAGATCACCTCCGACGAGAACTGGTTCGTCTGATACCACGCCGTCGCGATATTCATCGGCAAGATCTCGGCGAGCGCCCGGGTCCTCTTCCCCAATCCATCGTTGATGTTAAGCCCGCTCTGCCAATTCCACGGATCCAGATCCGTCAGGTTCCTCGGAATCAAGTCCCGGTTGAACACCGGCGGCAGATCGTAGACGAAGACCCTTCCGAACTCGCATCCTCCGCCTTCCGGCGGCGGGGCGGCGGCGGGGACGGCGGCGGGGGCGCAGGAAGTGGCCGGAATCGAGATCGTCTCGGAGGGGAAATGGTGGACGTGAGAGTGGGGGGAATTCCGGGTGAGGAAGATGATGAGGATTTGGGCGAAGACGAAGGCGGTGAAGAGCCAGAAGCGGGGGTGGGCGGAGAATTGGGATTGGAAGGGGGCGAAGAAGGTGAAGGGTTTGGGTTTTTGAGAGATTTGAAGATCGGAGGAGGAATGGGAAAGCATTTTAATGGCGTCGGGAGATCAGAAAGGAAGGAAATTGGGGGAGTGAAGAGGGGAGGAAGAAAAGGAGGAGAGTGGGGACAAATAATTTGTTTGGTTTTGGTTTGTTTATGTAAGTGTATTTGAGTAGAGAGAAAAGAGTAGAGAGAGTGAAGGGGGGAAAGATTGGGAGGAGTTTACCACCGACCGACAACAGGGACATGGGAATTTTACTTTCACCCCGTTTATGTGTGTTGGGATCCGAGACTTATTAAGAATATATAGCCTCTTTTATGGAAAGCATCTCTAAAAGAGTGCTGGGTAGGAGTAAAACATAAGTCATATTTCCAAAGTAAAAATTCAAATTTAAACTCTTCTAAATAGGAGTACTTAATCACATTTTTTGTTTCAATTAATTCTTACCGAAAATGTAAAGCCTTAGAGCCTCTGACTTTTCTCTCATCCATCATCGCACATACAATTGCATTGCCGATGTTGCCCCTGTCTCCATCACCGACGCCCTTATGCGCCCTTCTCTTTACTCCCTTCATCGGCGTTGCTCCCTTCATCGCAGAGCCGCACCGCCCTTTCCCCTCTCTTTCTCATGCCCTCGCAAAGCGCTGCGTCCACACACTCCATCCGCCCAGATCTGAAATCTAATCCACCATAAGTCAAGTTCTTGGCGGAATCCATGATGTTGTCGGTCAGAACCCTTGGCCCCGAGCTTGATGTCTCCACTGGGGACAAATTTCACTGTGCAAAGCTTAAAGTCGACAGCTAGGTCTCGAGACGGTTGGTCATCCCGCCACCACAAAGGTGATTGTGATATGAGTGATGGTCGCCGACAGTAGTGCTGGGCAATGTTCGCGATTGACATTACCCCTTTGTTTGACATTGTGAATTTGCATATGTGACATTATATATGTGCATTTGTGGTATTATGCACTACGATATGTGACATTATGTTTTGCTATATGTGACATTATGTATTGCCATGTTTGACATTGTGTTTTTTTCCACTGTATAAACAATTAATGTGGCACTATGATCGATGTCGATAGTGCAAAGTGTGACAGTGGTATCGGTGGCTTGAGATGACTACTCGATTTTCATGTGGCGGTGCTCCAGGTCGACAGTTCACAGCGACTGGTGCAACATGATTCACCACAATTCCATGGTTTAACAAATGGTATCAGCAGCACTACCCGCTGAATTGATGATTTCTTCGCCATTGTGCAATACAATGCGGATCAGTATGTGAGATTTCATATTATACTTATGTATGTATTCTTCATGAATGGTTAGTTACTCTGTATGCAATTTATGTCAACGGTGGGTTTTGGTAGCGATGGCGCAATAGTGCAGTAGGAGCAGAGGAGGGCAGCGGTAGGGACGCGGCGGCAGCAAGGGGCTCTGACGGCAGTTGCTAAAGGTTGAGACTTGGAGGTGAGTCGCTATTGCTAAATTTTTTTGTCGAATTGCAAGAGGTTAAAACTTGGAGCGTGTGGGCTAGATTTAGGTTTTTAAGTTAATTATTCCTATTTAGGAGAGTTTAAGTTTGAACTGCAAGCAATAGGAATCACAGTATAACACAGATAAAGCACCAAGTACAATAGAATGAATGTCCTGCAAGCAATAGCAAAAAATTCCAACCAAACAAAACACACTACAAAAAGCCTCTGAAGCACCGCGCCCCTAACCGGCAACTCTAATCTTAGTTCTCCAAAGGTTCCTATCTAAAGACATATCATCAGTTAGGGTGAGAAGTCCTAAATCCTGCCTAATCACCTCCTTCCAATTCTTCTTAGGTCTACCCCTTCCCCTACTTCCCCCGACAACCGTAATCCTCTCGCATCTCCGTACAGGGGCGTCAGCATTCCGCTGTCTTACATGACCAAACCATTTCAACCTCGCTTCCCGCAGTTTATCTTCCACCGGCGCCATGCCTACCTGACGTCGGATAACTTCGTTCGAAATCCTATCCAACCTTGTCTTCCCACACATCCATCGTAACATCCGCATCTCCGCCGCAAGCAAACGTTGCACATGAGTCTTCTTAACCGCCCAACACTCTGCCCCATATAACATAGCAGGTCTGACTACGGACCGGTAGAACTTACCTTTTATCCTGGGCGAAATCTTCGGATCATACAACACCCCTGAAGCCAACCGCCATTTGGCCCAAGCCACACCAACACGATGTCCAACATCCCCGTCTAATTCCCCATCAGCCTGAATTACCGAGCCAAGATATCGAAACATCCGCGTCTAATTCCCCATCACATAACATTCATTCCCAATGTCATGGGAACCGGTCCCAAAAAAGAATGAAGACACAAATTTAGATCTCGACTTTCAAAGTAAAACCTCTGGCTTTTCCATAGGTAAATTGATTCTTTGTCTCTTAGATCTAAGAAGTGTTGTTGGTCCAGCCCATTATGTGAATAAGTAATTCATTGCTTGTGTTTGGTTTAAGTGGAAGCCCAAATATCCACTTGTTGGTGTGGCCCAAATATCAATTGAAATTTTCAAAGTTTATTCGAGACATAAATTTTTTTTAAAGAAATCCTTCTAAAAGAAAAACATTGGGAAAATATCAAAATATGAGTTTCATGTTTTTATCCTTAAAATAAGAGTTTATACTGTGGTAATGTGACATTGTATATGGACATTTCAAAATATTTTTTGGTAATGTATATGATTATAATTGACACCTTTTAAATTAATTTTAAATCTTATTTTGAGAATAAAAACATAGAATTTCTATTTTTGTATACTTTCAATGTTTTACTCCTACTTTACTCTTTTTCCAAAAACTTTATTCTGTAAGTTCAATTTTTTAATCGAAGCTCTACACTACTTGTAAACGCTGCTAATTTACCTCAATGTTTTTAGTGATATTCTTCACTTTTCCTCTCACAAAGCGTTATCTCTTATGTATGAAGTTGTTGGTGGGGTATGACACATGTGTAGACTCGTTTCAGTTGAAATTGTCCTTATATCATCTTTCATCGAGGCTATGCAACAGGAATTTCAAATGAAGAATCTTGGTCCTCTTCACTACTTCCTTGGACTTGAGGTCACACGCACAAAGGATTGCCTACTTCTCAGGAAAAATATGCCCGTGAACTCCTCCAGGAGTTGAAGATTGCAAACCGGCCCCCACGCCCCTACCTGTACGGCAGCCCGAGGAGGGGGTGAGCCGTCCGTTCGACAATCCCACCTTTTTCTGAAGTTTAGTTGGCTCTCTCCAATATTTGACAAACACACGTCCGGCGAGTAAATTATGTTTTGTAAATTATGTTTGTAAATTGTATATATATATATATATATATATATATATATATATATATATATATATATATATATATATATATATATATATATATATATATATATATATATATATATATATATATAGGAAAAACTATTTTTAAACAGCTAATTTTACCAAACACTTTTAACAATCAGCTAATTCATCCTGTCGGTCAAACCAGCCAAACTAAACAGCCATTCACAAAAGCTAGCACAAACCGCCAACAGCCAACAGCTGACAGCCAATATCCAAACAAGGCCATAATATCCTAGACATGATGAGTTTATAGAAAAATAAAAAGTAATGGAGTAAATTTAATTCATGAGGTGAATCTAGTTTTTTTTAAGAGTGTGGTTATCAGCACCCTAATTATTTTGAGATTAAGGCTGCGTTCCGTTCGCCTGATCTGATATTATTTTTTGAAGATCCGATCGGATTATAATTATAGTTTAAGTTGTTTCTGATATGAACAAAGATCCCGTTTGGCATCAGCGTTAGAGGTTAGCGTGAACGTTTTGAAAAGACTATCTAACGGTAGCCTTTAGCGTTAACGTTTTCAGAGTTAATCTATGCCATTAAAACTTTATCCAAAACGCTAACGCTAATTGAAAGTGCTCTTTCCAAACAAGGCCTAATTTAATCTGATTTAATTATAATAAAAATAAATAATAAACAAAAAAATAAAAGGAATGAAACACACTCTAAGAGTGTATGTGAGTTCGACTTTTGGCATATGCTAATTACCAAGCGCGGTTCTTTATACTCCGTACTCCCTCCGTCTCCCTGTATTTGTCCACATTTGACTTTTGGAACTGTTCATCTAAGCACTTTGACTAATCAAATTCTCTCAATATGTAAGCCATGTGTGATCTTGTTTGATTTGTCTTAACATATAGATTATTAATATATAATTTCTATAATTTTTTAATTTATAAATTATAAGATAAAATGGATTAAAGAAGTGCATTAGATGGTGTGTAAAAATGAAAGTGGACAAATACAGGGGGACGGAGGGAGTATTAGGCAACAAATATTCTTTTCAGGGACGAGGCTTATCACCACAAAAAACGAATCTGATAAAGAGTATCATAACAACGACAATTTATTCTTTATTTCAAATACAAGTCTACCAAGAAAGGTAGCATATACGGAGTAATATTGTAGTGTTTGTCACGACAGGTCGAAAATTAGAAACACCATTGTAGTAGCGAGCACGTAACTTTACATTTTAGTAGTGAATAATTTATTCCCATTTACTAAGCAAGTATATAAATCTCCATTGAAAAAAAGTATTTGTGCGATATTTCTGCTCACAATTATTCTACAATAAAATCATATGGTGTGATTAGCAGGGGTGGACCCACATAGAGTCACACGGGGTCACACGACCCCACAGGAATTTTGTATTTTTTTATATATTTATATATATTTAGATAGAAATATAGTATTACTATATATTTAAAAAAAGAGTAAATTCCATAATTGGTCTTTTATAATAAGGATGTTTCCCTATTTAGTCATCTATCATCAAATATTACTCTAGTGGTCCTTCTTTTATAGATATCTTTCCACAAGTAGTCCTTTTTTAATCTTCTATCATGTTGGTGTTAATTTGATGGCTAAAAGTATAATTTTACAACGATAATATATCTTTTTTGTCATACACAATTACAAATGATGTTCCGTTTGCATCGTTTGTGAATTATAGTCGTTTTCTACTACAACCATAGTTTACAAATGTGGTCTTTCGTCGGAATCCTACCCCACAATCATAGTCATTATTTTTGTGTTATCCGCTTAATCAATATCAGAACACGTCACTAGACATAATGTTGATGTTAAAATATATATTTAGCCTTTAAATTAACAACAACATGACAGAAGATCAAAATAAGACCATTTGTGGAAAGACACCCTTAAAAAAAGATTACGAGGATAATATTTGATAATAGAAGACTAAATATGAAAATCCCCCTATTATAAAGAATCAATTATGGAATTACTCTAAAGAAAACGCACAACTTCTAACATGGATGTGTAGACGGAATGGAAGGCGGCTGCTATGCCATTGGTTATTCAGATAGCAGGTTGAGAGTTTGAAACTGAGCTTACTGCCTTTTCAAACTACATATTGTTTATTTTGTTTTTCTTTTCCATTTTTGTAGGTTTCTTTTTTGTCTTTTTTTGTTTCATTCCTTCATTGCCTACTCATATTCGTTCCTTACATAATTGATTTTACTTTTTTAACAATTCTAAAATCAAAAATCTTTTATATATACTTTATTTACGAAGTAGTATTGAAATAAAAATTACTATTCGTCAAATTGACTTTTGAAGTCAGACTGGATAAACTTTGATTATTAATCAATTTGAAATTGAATAGGTTACCGAAATAAAATTAATTTTATTAGATTTATCTTGTCGATTTTTTTCTGAAATTTATTTCTTTTTGAAAATATACCATGCAAATTTTATGTAATTGGCATTAAAATTAAGCCAATTTAATATTTTTTTAAATAAATATAATCTTTAATTTTATGAGTTACTCCCATCATCTCGTTATACTTGTCTTATCCATTATTCACAGAGTTAAATTAGATATTTTTTCTTTACATGTTTTCGTCTATCATTTTATTAAAAATTGTAGTATAAAATCTCTTATTTCATAAAATATTTTATGTTATTTTAAATCTACAATTTTAAGTTTTTATTCGACACCAATTTTTAAATAAATTTAAAAAAATGATTTATTTAAACATTATAAATTGAAGTGAGACAAAAATATGACAAGAAAGTCTTAGTTTTGAATTGAAGATTCGTATTAGAATATCTTACTACTTCCCCTGAATATTTGTCTAGTTTTGATTTTTTTTCCAACCATTTCCAATCTTTGATCTATAATTAAATAAAATATACTCCCTCCATCCGGAAATATTCTTCTCACTTTCTTTTTTGGCCCGTCCGAAAATATTGTTCCCATTTTCTTTTTTAATATACTTTTGAAGGATAAATTTCAATAATACCCTTCTATTTTATCACTAATCTACTTTTTTATTGCTTTTTTAATAAGAAAAAAAGATTTAAAAGCTTATAGTATGTGCATTTTTGGAAATTTGGCATTGTTTTTACTATTCCTTAATAAGCGTGCCAAGTCAACACGGAAAGAATATTCCTGGACGGGGGAGTATATTGTACTCCCTCCGTCCCTAAATATTTGTCACACTTGTATTCTCGAGATAAAATATCAAGCTTTTTCAATTCATTTTATTTACATATTGGTATAGAAATAAAAAAAATAAAATTTACATATCAAAACATTATATGAAAAGTTCTTCGAAATAAGAGGTGTTAAGAATATTTTATTTTATCAAATAACCAATGAAACGTAGAAATAATTAAAAGTTTTCGCGAGTACTAAAAAAGCATTATATGAAAAGTTTTTCGAAATAAGAGGTGTTAAGAATATTTTATTTTATCAAATAACCAATGAAACGTAGAAATAATTAAAAGTTTTCGCGAGTACTAAAAAAGCAAGTGTGGCAAATATTTTGGGACGGAGGGAGTATATTAATTAGATAAAATAATATTTTGAAATTTTTTAATATAATAAATATATTTTTGTATCAATATCTAATATTATTTTTATTTTATTTGAGATCAAACTTTACCAATCTTGACGGAAAAAAGTTAAAAATAGGTAAATACTCAAAAAAGGAAGTATGAAAACTTAATTTATTTCTTAAAAAATGTAAATTATATTAAACTATTTTTCCCATACTCTTTTTATGGATATAGTTTAGAATTAGTTATTGACGAAAAGATTATAAACTCATAATTTACATATCGAAGATTAAAATATAAACATACATTAAATTTCTATAGAATTAGTGAATTGTCTATTTATTTTTGAATATCTTCTATTTTGACCCATATTTCTGAATTTCGTTTAGGAACCGAACCGAACATAGAATATATTCGTATCCGTATGCGTTAATGTAACCAATAACAAATACCATTCATATACAAACATATACAAATCACGAATTGAATCAGTAACACTAGTGTCATTTTAGACTTACTCTTAATAATAATAACCACACAAGAAAAAGTGAAGATAAAAAGTGAATTCTAGTTGACAAATAAAAGCTTTATAGATTATGGAGTGGAGTAGTAATTAACAAGAGAATACAAAAAAGTATTTCCTCAAATAATAATAATAATAATAGAAAGAATATAGCAATGAGGCAATCAAATCCGCTATAAACGGAGGGAAATCAGGCCCGTGAGTGGTGATATAAATATATATCAATTAATGCTCCGTAATAACAATCATTATGGAGTATTAATAACAATAAAATTTGACCGTCGGATGAGAGGAGAAGGAGATGGAGGGCGGAGATGTATAGATGTGAACCCGCTCTAGAACACCGTCACACAGCTGATTACAGCCCATCCCAATGCCAACATTACGGTCCAGCCCATCAATTTCTCTGCTCCACTCTGTGTTCCAAATTTCAAACACTATTATTACTTCAACTGCCCTACAACTTCGAATAGCTAACCAAAAATTTGGTTATTCATTGGTACAACTGGTATCAGCATTAGAGATTAGCGTTATCATTTTGAAAAAGCCTTCTGACAAAAGCTATTAGCATTAGCATTTTCTGAATTAATCCACAGCATTAATATTTTATTCAAAACGCTAATTGAAAACGCTCTTCCCAAACAAGGCTAAAAAGATTAACTCAAGGCGTACCGATGGAGTATCACCATTTTTTTCATTATTTGAGTTTTGTTTCTTGTTTCTTTGTTTCTTCGATTAACGTTAGCATTTTAGATAAATTTTAATGATGTAAACTAATTCTGAAAACGATATCGCTTAAAATTACTGTCGGATAATCTTTTCAAAATGCTAGCGCTAATCTCTAATGCCGATGCCAAACGGAGCCAAAGTACTCCTTTCGTCCCTAAATCATTTATACACTAAATTATTCAAAAATTACGAGAACTTTGTTTATTTATACACTAACTTAGAGTGATATTCTCTTATGTAAAAACAATCTCATACATATAAACTCGTTTTCGTTACTATTTTTGCTGATTTCAAAATTTGAATTTCAGAATTGAAATTATATGACTTTCAAAACAACATTATGAATATAAAATTGAGCCCGGTTCCATGGCCACTGAGAAGCCACTGCCCCCCTACGGAGCTCCGTTCATAAAATTGATGATTCCTACTCCCTAACCCCCCGGTAAACCCTCCTGCCAAGTCCCGACCCAAACTAATCATCTCAACTACATCAATTGCACCTCGTAAGTATAATTGACTTTAAAGTCAAAAGTTGGAATTTCAAATGTTGGAATTGAAATCTAAAATTTCAAAGGAATTATAATTCCCAAACAGTGCCTAATTTCTGTTATACGAATATATTCGAATTCGTTATCTCTAGAAAATATGATTTTCATATTATGTCAAGAAATCAATTACTATAAATTGAATACGCACTCATAACCTTTAGATTAAAACTAGTGTGTAAAAGCTCTCACAATAAGCATTTTGGTGATTGGAGGAGCTAAAAGGGAAGAAAACGATGGAAAATTCTTGGTTTACAGATATAATACGGAGTAGTTACAAATCTTATAGAGTTACTATATGTAAGTTTCAATAGAAAAAATTAAGTAACCTAAAATAATTTTAAAACGAGAATTTAAATTATAAATAACAAGTTTGTAAAATTTATGATTATTGTATGTGAAGCTAGCTTTCTATTTATGGTTAGTGCTTGGTTAGGGTAATAATGACAAAAGACTATATGATTCATCATTCATATTCCTTTCCCTCACCAAAGGTTTAGTAGTTCAAGTGGCCAAATCAAAAAGTAACGTAACTACTACAACAACAATGAATTGCACAAGTGAAACTACTTTTTCTCTTTTTCTTTTTTTGAAGTGAGTAAATTACTATATTCTTTAAAAAGATTTCACAATTGAAAATTGTTGCCACCTCTATTCTGAAAATTTTATTTTATTTATTTGTCCAAAAAAAAACATTCCTTTCTATTTTCGAAATAATTTTGTGGCCTTTATTTCTTAAACTAAATATCTTTCAATCATGTAATTATATTTTATTAATCTCCGTTTCAAATATTTCACCGCTCTCGTTATATATACACATACTCATGGATTTTAATTCACCAAACCTGTAAACTATTAGGCTCTGTTTGGTAGATGAAATTCAAATTTGAAAGAATTTGGGATGGGTATGGACAACTGGATTGGGTAATAAGACACTTGAGTTGAACCACATTAAAAAATTGAATCCAATCGATTAGTTAGTTAACTCAAGAACTTATATACCGATTATTTTTCTCACACTTTTCCGATGTGGGATACTCTTAACACTCCCCCTCAAGTGGACAACCGGGCCATTTTGAATCTAACCGGTTGACCACTTGCAAATGAACTCCCATTCCCTTGACTTTTTTTTTGAGCGCCAACACCTAAAGGACCACGAGCCGCTGGGTATGGACTTCCAGACGAGCAATCGTGTTAAACGGGCCACAGGCCGTTGGATACAAACTCCACACGGACAGAGCTGCTGAGGAAGGCGGACGGCCGGACGGCGCTTGACGGACGACGTCTGTGACTTAACAGGATTGCGATGATGGAACGATATCCCTAGGAAATTGCTCCGATACCACATTAAAAGATTGAATCCAATCGATTAGTTAGTTAACTCAAGAACTTATATACCGATTATTTTTCTCACACTTTTCCGATGTGGGATACTCTTAACAAAATTATGAAATTGGAATTAGGGCCAATAATTCTCATTTTGTTGTTTGGTATGACCAAAATATGTAGATTTAGAATTGGAACTTCGAAATTAGTATTAGAATTGGAGATTTTAATTCCACCCAAATAAATTCCTTAGAATTTAAGCTTCCAATTCAATTCCAATCTCATCAATTTCGTGTACAAAATAGATCCTTAGTCTCTCTGGATTTAATTTTTGCATCAAATTTTTTATCAAAATTTGTAAATTTTGATTTTGCTAAAAAATCGATTGTGTTTTGATATAAATATCATATTCATTTCAACATTTCTCAACAATTACCGGGAAATTTTTTAAAGTTTTGATATTTCCTTAATTAAAACTTTTAAAGTAAACAGATACAGTGTTAAATGTTAATTAGAGTGAAAGACTTACATCGTTGAGGGATGACGCCGGCCCCGGAGAGAGGGCGTCGGGGTTGGGTCCGGGGGCTTCCGACGGAGGCGCCGGTGGGCTATCCAACGCCGGAGCTGGTGCTGGTGATTTAGCGTGGTGTTTCTTACTCTTTCCTTTGGCCTTGCTCTTGCTTGGAGACGGAGCTGCAGGCTTCGTCGCGGGAGCCTCAGCGGGGGACGCCGCCGGAGGTGAAGAGGCAGAAGGAGGGGTGGCTGCTTCGGGAGCGGAAGCTGGTGGTGACTGCTGTACAGGCGCTGCTGCCGGCGGAGATTTAATCGCCGGAGCGATTGCCGGGGGAACAGAGGCCGGAGACAGAGCAGGAGGGGACAAAGCTGGAGCCTTGGAAGGGGCTGCCGGAGCTTTTGTAGCCGGAGAGGTCGCCGGAGCAACTGCCTTTGCGGAGGTGGGAGCTTTTGAGGGAGCATTCACCGGAGAGACTGGTTTTGCGGCAACCGGAGCACTCGCCGGCGAAGAAACAGGGGCGTTGTTTTTTACAACAGGGGATTTCAATGGAGCCGCGGGTGTTTTCGCAGCGACCGGAGCATTAGCGGTCGGTGCAGTGGCTGCTTTCGCAGCGGAGGGCGCCGCTGCCGGCGACTGAGCCGCAACTCCGGCCACAATTAACAGTAGAGAGAGAGATACAGCCCACCGACCCATTGCCGTCTCCTTTTTCTTTGAAGAGAAGAGAGAGAATAGCGTAATCTTTGTTTTGTGAATTTTGTTTTGGAAATGGAGCGGAGAGAAAGGGGCATTTATGGAGGCGTATTTAGTTTTAACGACACCGACACCTCCGAAACAGTGATTTGGGAATTGAAAATTAAGTTATTCCCTCCGTCCTAAAACTTTCTTCCCATATTCCAACTTTACGGGAATTTATATTTATTTGTGTTTTTTCATTGCCTATATGATAAAATAAAATATTCTTGTCACCACTTGTTTTGTTGAATTTTTGATATAGTTTTTAAATATGTATGTTTTATTTTTTATTTCTATACCAATATTTAAATAAAATAGATTGAAAAAACTTGGGATTTTTCTTCGTTTTGCGCAACGGGAAGAAAGTTTGTGGACGGAGGGAGTACGTTTTTTTTTGGAATTTTTTTTATACTCCTATTTATTATTCCCTCCGTCCCAAAAAGATCTTCCTGTTTCATTTTTTGCGCATCCTATAAAACACTTCTATACACATCTAAAATGTCTAAAATTTACCACATTTCTCATTTATTGTAAGTAGAAGTTGTTTTAAAATTTTTTTTTTGCATTTGAGGCGGGATATAAGTGTTTTATGAGACGCGCAAAAAATGAAACAGGAATATCTTTTTGGGACGGAGGGAGTACGTCTTTCGGTCCTAAAATTATCTCCCCAGTTAGTATTCATACAGTTAAACTTAAATCACTTTTTTTTTTCTATTTCCGTTAGTTATTTGATAAAATAATATAATCTTGTCACTGTTTTTTTTGTAAAACTTTTGATATAGTTTTTAAACATATAAATTTTATTTTTTAATTTTATATTTACAATCAAATAAATTAAATTGAAATAGAGTCGGTCAAACCTTGTAAACACAAACGGAAAGATAGTTTCAGGATGAAGGTGTAATTCTTTTATAAATATGAATTTGAGGTATATTATTTTTTAAAAGAAAAAGAAATATAAATGTGAATATGAATTTCGTAAAATAAAATAAAAGGCAAAAAAATTTGGTTTGATTTTGCAAAATATATCCATTTAATATATGAAATAATAAAAATTAAATATTAATTGAATTAAAATTTAATATTTTAATAGAAAAAGAAAAAATATTGGAAAAAAAGAACGTTAGTCTAAGAATGGAGGAGTATTGGTTTATTTTCACGGTAATAAAAAACTACGAGTAATTTGAAAAATAAAAAACTCATAGAAGAAAGCCTTGTTTCACATATAAATAGTGACAAATCACACAAATTTATTATTCCTGAGCTTGAGCAAAAAAATAAAACAATCTAAAATAATTTTAAATTTAGAATTTAAATTATAAATAATAAATTTGTAAGTTTTATAATCATTTTATTTGTGAATCAAGTATTTTATTTTTTCAATTGAAAAAGGAGGAGATGATTCAAATGAGGCGCACCACGGCTAGAAAGGAACGGATAGGGGTGACAACGGTAATTAAACAGACTGGAGTGGGGGCCCGGAACGCATGCTGGGTTTTTGGATGGCCACATCACAACAAAGAGTTGTTGTTGATGAACTTTCCTTTTGGTTTCTTCGATGGAAATGGGTCCTTACAGCTGGAAAAGGGTGTCCGTGGGACCAACCGGCTGGCGGAAATACCCTTGTCTGCACCTAAAATTGGTGATTTTTGTATTATCCTATTGTCCCAAATATTGTCATGCTAATTCTAGAAATTTCATAAAAGGTCTTCAGTTATCGTTTTATATATTTAATTCTTACATATTAAATATTACTAATTTAGCTTTAATTATTCTTTCATTTTTTAAGAATGGTCATTTGTTAATGTTTTTGTTAATAACATAGATAAAATTCTACTACCTCCGTCCCATATCTTTCTTCTCACTTTCCTTTTTAGGCCGTCCCACTTGTTTCTTCCCATTTTATAAAATGGAATTAAAACACACTTACACTTACCATTTTACCCTTCCTTTTTCTCTCCCAACCCCCCTCTCCTTTTTTTTCTTCTTTTTCACCAACCCCCACCCTTCGAACTCTTTCTTCTTCTTTAATTTCATACATTTGATTTTGAATTTCTTCAATTTCTTAGATAATCTCTTAGATTTGATTTTAAATTTCTTCAATTTCTTAGATTTGATTTTTAATTTCTTCAATTTCGTAGATTTGAAATCTAGAATTTTTTAAAGCATTTGAAATCTAGATTTGTATTTTAATTTCTTAGATTTGACTCTGGTTGATGGAGGGGAGGGGACGAAGAAGAACAATTGTGGAGCTAAAGAAGAAGATGAATAGTTTACTTTGTGTTTGTGATGCACACTAATCTACACTTTAGAGAGCAGGGTGGTGGGTAGTGAAAAAAAGAAGAGTATAAAGGAGAGGGTAGTTGAAGGGCAAAAGAGGAAAGTATACTTTTTTCACTTTACATAAAAATCCGTGTCAAGTCAAAACGGGAAGTTTCAATTTGGACGGAGGAAGTATATTCATACTTCTCTCTCCTCAATTAAGCTTAGCTTGGAAAACACTAAATTGTACGCGAACACTTTTTTCACTACATAGTTTCAAGTGTAACAAAAAAAATATGATGAATGACCAAGAAATGTGTGGTTGGATGGGTGCTAGGATACAACTCTGGATAAAATCCAGCGTACTCCTTCTAACATTACATACATACATAAATACATCGGCCGTTTCAGAAGAAAAGAATAGAAAATGAGAAACGAAATGAACTTAGAAAAAAGCAACATTCATTCCTCAAATTTTGGTGAGCAAAAGAGAAAATATTTTTCTTTTCTTTTTCTTTTAAGTTTTACAAACCAAACATAGGGTAAATAAACGGATATATACCTAGCTAGATACTCCACAGAGAATGGAGGGAACAAGGCCACAAATTACATGAAAACACATTTCCTTTTTTTTTTTTACATCAAACCGCTATATCGTACTGAATGTGCCGGAGAACGACGGGAACCACGATGTCCGGGGAGCTGAGTTGCGGCAGGTGGCCGTCGGTGGACATGACCTCGACAATGGAGTGGCCACCGAGATTGCGGTGGAGGTACTCGGAGACGACAACGGGCACAGCGGAGTCCTTCATGCTCTGGATGATGTGGCAGGGGACGGTGACGCGGGCGAGAATGTGCCGGAGGTCGCTGCGGAAGATGGTCTGGAGGACGGAGAGGGCGATGTCGGGGCGCATGTTGAACAGCGTCCGGCTGAACTCCTGCACCGCCACCGAGTCCATGTCGCCGCCCACCGCTAGGGGCGCGAACCCGGAGCACCATGACTTGTAGTTTGAGCGCATCGCTTCGAATAACTGCTCCAAGTCTTCTACCTCAAACCCCCCGTAGTAGTCTACGTCGTTTAGATACCTTATGCCAAAAAAAAGTTTTGCAATTGTCTTACAACTTAGATTTCATTGAAATTATAGATGATTAAATTTGAATTCTCGGATTTCAAATTGAAAAGGGGAGTCTATGGATTTGTAATTGAGTTTTGTTGAGAAGTATAAAAATTTGACTCAAATTCAAATCTATATTTTTTGGATTTCTAAACGTATAATTTAGGTCAAATTTTAATTTAAAATTCAAATTTAAGATTCCATATAGATTATAGATCATAAGTTGTAAGAAAACTTTTGAAAGAATTGCATTAGTAAGATACAGAGAATAAACTAGTATTTTAACCCGTGCCATGCACGGGATGGTACAAAATTGTTTTTGATTTTACGATATGAAATATTAAAATGACTTTGTTTTTTATGAGACATATCATTTAAACATCAAATAAAAATGATCGATGTTTATTGAATGTATATAAATTTTCATTTTTTTCCCGTATAAATTTAAAAAATACAAAAAATCGTAGTGATTCTATGAATCTTTTCCCCAACATAAATTTTAAAAAGCTTGAATTACGGATCTTATGATTATACAATTAAAAACATGATTTTTCTTCCCCACATTAATTGAGATAAGCGAAAAAATGATTCCCCCGCCCCTGCATTGAATACAAAAATTGATTCATCTCTACTGCATTATTTAAAAATAAAATATTGGATTAGCGATCCTATGACTTTACTATTGAAATTATTCATTTGAAAAAAAATTAAAATACAACAATTCTTCTCCATCCCCCGCATCAATTTTGAAAAAAAAATATTAATAAAAAAGTAGTACTACAATGATTCTGAAGGGAAAAAGAGAAAGATTAAAATAGAAATAAAATATAAGAAAATAACAAAAATAGAATCTTTATGTTTAATCTGCAAAATAAGAACTATAATATCAATAAGACCAACATACAATACAAAAATTACAATCAAATCTCAATATACAGTGTCACATTATATTGCAATAGTACCATTTTGTAGATAAAAACATGTGACTCTTATTTTTTAATATTTTTTACTTCTATTTTTGGTTGATTTCTGAAGGGAAATTTACAAAAAAATTACTATTTTTTATTCTTTTTATTATTTTTTGCTTTAAAATGCAAAATCATTCAAACGCATAGTAGCATTCTGATCAATACAAAATGTTCTAACAAAATATAAATAGTTGTAAATTGGAAATTATATTTCTCTTTGATGTGCTTTGTATCCAAGTTTTGATCTTATTCGTTTTTGCACCTTGGATCTTCTCGCACTTTTTCTTACTTTATTTATTGCCTTTACACCCATCTTCATTGTCATAGACCTTCTAGCACTCACTCCTGCATCTTGATCTTCCTTATCACAATTTTTTTTGGCATACATCTATGTCATCTCTCTCTGTCTCATAAAACAATATCGTATGTCCTTTCTATGTATAATTATGCAAATGAAAGTGTATGAATGAAGCGATTCCCCTTTTATTCAAATTTTCTTATCTTCATGCATAAATATAGTGAATACTTACACAAACTTATTTTGATTAAAATAGTAACTCGAATTACCAACATAAAATACAAAATTCATATTAAATATTTATTTGATTTAAATACTTGATTATTTTAAATAATAGTCAAAGCATTTCTTGTTTTATATAATTTTAAAATATAGATTAAAATATATTTTTTTATTTTACATCAATGTTTAAACAAATAGAGTAAAAACTATCTTCATTTTGGCATATCATAAAAAATATGAAACTTACTCAAAGTATTATTATAAATCAAGTAAAAAAATATAATATTAAGAAATAATACTCTAATAAAAATGAAGATCTATATTCCATATTTAAAATTTGTCAATAATAAAGAGGTAAATTATTTTGAGACGGAGCGAGTTAAGTTTTATTATAGTTTTTAAAATATTTTAATTTTTAAATTTTACATCAATATTTAAATAATAAAATCAAAACTAACTTCATTTAAAAATCTCACAAAGAAATATTGAATTTATTAAGAGGTGAAGAGAATATCTAATTTATTATTTTTAAATTTTGTTATAATGAAGATAAAAAAATATAAATTAGGAAAGAATATTATCATATAAATGAAAATATTTTTTCCATAATAAATTTTCTCATTGATTTCAAACCAAACTATTACTTTATTATGTTCCACGTCACAAATTGTGTGGCATATTAAGAGTAAAAAAATGCCACATAAACAACATATACAACATGCTACTTTCTTGAGATTTAAATCTTATTTTTATATATAAAGGATATATCTAAGTCATACAATTTGAATTCAGCTATTAATTTTTATGTGAAAAAATTGTAATTATAATTCATCTTTTGCATTTTTAAAATAAAATCGTTTGAAAATTCCAGTAAACTTCAATTGTGAAATAAATGTGGTTTTTTTAATTTTAAAGAAATTAAGTTTTTTTTGAAACATATCAAATGTGAATATAGTTTTTTTAATTTTGGAAAATAAACTTATTTTATTTTTTACTAATTGACTCTATTTTATCCACGTGTTTTTAAACTCTTTTGTTTGAAGTCATGATATTTTTTGTGTTTTATAATTTTAATTATTTCAGTCTATTTATAATCGATTATTGATGTTAGAATAATCCATGATCTTGAAAAATCTAAACAAATATTGATGTAGAAAAATAAAATGTATCCAAATTTATACAACTCCATTTAGAGTGAAAATCACTCATGTGATAAGAAAATACTCCCTCCGTCCCAAATTATAATGCCTGTTTACTATTTACAGGGTCAAACTTCATTCACTTTTTTTCTCTATTTTCGTTAGCAATTTGATAAAATAAAATATTATTGTCACTACTAGTTTTGTAGATCTTTTGATGTAGTTTTTTAATATGTAATTTTTATTTTTTAATTCTATAACATTTGTCATATAAAATGGTTTGAAAATAATTTCAGTCAAACATCGTAAACCGAAACAGGCGTTATAAATTGGGACGGAGGTAGTACCGTTTTGGAAAATATTAAATTAGAAAAGACTACGTACGTAATTATTGCTTATTATGAACTAATTTGAAAAAATACATTAGTAGAAAGAACTATTTTGAAAATTTATTCAATTTCTTTTTTAACTTATTTTTATTTATATTAGATTAGTCATTTTAAAGCTAAATTCAATTCAATTATGTACACATTTTTTGTTGAATTACAACCATATTTTTGCTAAATAAATTCTCATAAAAACGAATAAATTAATAATTTTAAAAACTTTTCATATTTTACTTAAGAACTTTTATATCAGTGTTAGTGTCTTTTATAATGAATAATTCACTTAATTTTTATTAAAAAATTATACTTTTATTTTCATTCATTTACTTGATTTTCTTTGAATTCAAAAGTCCATAACATTTTTGTAATATAAAATATATTGATTTAAACTAATCAAATATTTAAATATCAACTCCTAAAGATTATAATAAACTATTTGCTAAAAATGATCAATAAATATTTAAATATCAACTTCTAAAGATTATAATAAACTATATATGAAGACTTTTTTATGAATGATTTTAGATTCAATTAATGCATACAGTCATCATTGACATGTCAAAAAAATCCATGTAAGCATTCCACATGTCAAGCTCTGGTGATCCGAGTCTGAAATATTTTATTAAAGGATTTTCGTTGGTTTACTTGGATATTACGTGGCGTG